GAGACTTTTTTTTTCTCAGCTCTTCTGTTTTCAGAGAGTTTAGCTAGTTTAGCTAGTAGATGTCAGCAATAATAAATAAATGGGACCTCCATAAAATATTTGAGTACCAAGTGCTAAATGTTAATGCAATGGGTATACATAGATGGAAAGGTCTACTCCTTGGGAAACAGGAAGACACTGGACTTGATGAACCTTTTGGTATGATCCATCGGGAAGATTTTAGGAATACCTTCAAATATGCACATCCAGTTTTTAGAGCAAAGAACTCTACTGAGAAAATACATTGTCCTAATGCTAAGAAAGAAAGACTCTGTTTCACTATTATGTGCCTATTCCAGTTCCTGTAGCAGCATTTTCGTGTATGTGAGCTCTGTGGCTTCAGACCTACAGCATCATTTATGTCCATGCTTCAGCCATAGGCACCTTTGCCTTGCCTCCTCAGTTCTCCTCACTGCACTTTGTATCTATCATGCTAATCTCTCATTAGTAAGTGCAGAGTACACAAAGATGGAAAAAGAGTTGTGTATATTTCATTAAAGTCTTTGAATGGCCAACTCTATAGTTATGCAGCTCATCCTCCCTTCTGCAGATACTCTCTTTAATATGAGTTGTTGACAGTGATACCCTCTGAAATTCAACTCATTTCTGATGATGAGTAAAATTTCCAGTATGTGCTAAGTTTGGTTCTAGTGACAATTGAAAGCTATTTATGCTTTGAACACTTCTTTATTTACCTGTATGTGTTTTAAAAATCTAAGTTTCACAGTTCATCAAAACAAGACCATTTCAATGATGGCCCCACAACATTATGGAATAGACACCCTGAACGTATCTGCAAGCAGTCAACCCTGGCGCTTCAGGAAGCTTTATAAAGAAACTTCATAGGCTTATACCCATTCATTAAAGTGGTACTGTGCACATAATTGGATGCAGCATCACAGTATGCCATGATTGATGTCTCACTTAAAGGAGCTGCAGAAGTCCTATTGATTTTTGTTGTTGTGGAATAAACTCTAAACCTGTACTTTAATTTTCTAAAAAAAAACTGTCCATGTGTGTAAAGGAGGAAAACATTACTTCTTCAAAGATATACACCAAACTAACTTGGTCTGGCAGTTGTATGATCATGGATGTTAATTGTCATGCATATTTTAAAAACCAACAGAAGGAGAAGTTGAGCATGAGGAATGTAATTGGAAAGAAATATTTTAATTCAGCAACATGAACATACCTCAGGAGCACAGAGGTGTCCATTTTCACATGCAAAGGCTGGGTGTTAACTGTCTAAGTAATATCTAATCTCTGAACAGTAATTATAGTGTATCCAAAGCTTTAGCTTCCTTTTTCCTAAGACTTGCTGTGTTTAACTGACATAGTGAGATAGGGCATGAGATCAAAAATAAGACTTCAGCCTACAAAAGGGAATATTTTCCATTCTCTGAAAGAAGCTTGAGTGACAGATTATGTTAGTAATCTTCAGCCATATTTGTATAGCAATACTTTTAAGAAATTGCACTGTTATTATCCTTTATCGTTCAATGCTAATACATTGGTACACTTAAAAATAGAAGGAGAAAAATAAAGGTAATTAATAACATGTCTTGGGGATTTGTTAAGTGGCAAAGCAATTTCACCATAGCTCAAGGAAGGGGATCATTCACCCTGTGCTGAGGCTTAAATAACATGGTATACTAACTTCCTTGACTGAATTAGCAGATGAACCTGTCCAGTGATGACTTCTGGCCTCTGTCTCTTCATGGCACCCTGCATCACCCACCCTTCAATTAATGCTTTCATGGAATCAAGGATGTTGCTGCTGATGGTGGTGAACATAATGTCACTCCTTGACTGACACCCTATAGTTTCTTACAGATTGGAAGTGATCTGTAAAAGTATACTATTTATGTTGATTCTGAAATTCAAGGTTTAGTGTCAATTATAGGCTAAATTTGTTGAAATGGGAAATGGTGATAGTTTCCAGTAACCTGTTTGAGATAGCACAGTATCTGCTATATTTGTTACATGATGTTTTTTCACAGTTTTACCAACGCGTTTTTCAAATTTTGTGAAGGGAAACACATTTTACATTTTTTGCTGTAATTTTTTAATTAATGCTACTACAGTATGATACCACTCTAATGGCAGAAAGTGAAGAGGAACTAAAGAGCCTCTTGAAGCGGGTGAAGGAGGAGAGCGCAAAAGTTGGCTTGAAACTCAACATTAAGAAAACTAAGATCATGGCATCCGGTCCTCTCACTTCCTGGCAAATAGATGGGGAAGAAATGGAGGTAGTGACAGATTTTATTTTCTTGGGCTCCAAGATCACCACAGATGGGGACTCAGCCAAGAAATTAAGACGATTGCTCCTGGGCAGGAAAGCTATGGCAAATCTAGACAGCATACTAAAAAGCAGAGACATCACCCTGCCAACCAAAGTGCATATAGTCAAGTCTATGGTTTTCCCAGTTGCAGTATATGGCTGTGAAAGCTGGACCATAAGGAAGGCTGAGCGCCAAAGAATTGAGGCCTTTGAATTGTGGTGCTGAAGGAAACTCCTGCGAGTCCCTTGGACTGCAAGGTGATCAAACCGGTCAGTCCTAGAGGAGATCAACCCTGACTGCTCTTTAGAAGGCCAGATCCTGAAGATGAAACTCAAATACTTTGACCACCTAATGAGAAGGAAGGACTCCCTGAAGAAGAGCCTAATGCTGGGAACAATAGATGGCAAAAGAAGAAGGGGACGGCAGAGGATGAGGTGGCTAGATGGAGTCACTGAAGCAGTTGGTGTGAGCTTAGGTGGACTCCGGCGGATGGTGGAGGACAGGAAGGCCTGGAGGAATGTTGTCCATGGGGTCACGATGGATCAGACACGACTGCGACTAACAACAACAACAAATACGGTCTTCAGGTGCTTTGATCAAACTAATACTCTGGGGGGACCATTGTCTTAAGTTTTGCTCACAACATGATCCCACTGGCAGAAAGTAAGCAGATAAGTTTTGCCAATTCTCACTCCTCTTTACGGCCTCTTAAGCTCCAAAAATGTGCTTCGGAAGGTTCATGGATCAGTTGACACAATGTGTGTGAGCAGGGGATGGGCATGGGAGGCTACAGAGAGAAGAGAAAATAGAGTGCGTTCCAGCTTGAATACTCTGGATACAATATTATGCCATCTTGAGTTCCTTAGATGAAAACTGGAATATAAATGTATTAAATAAATCAAAGTTAACTTTTATTTTTTTGAAAAAGTAAAATCATGAACTCTACAATAGAAGAAGAAAATAACATGTTCATATACTTCAAGGATGGGACTGTTCTTTGAGAGACTGACCAATTAATGCAAACATCTGAAAATGTTTATCTTCATACATGTATGTAGAGATGTGGTCATCCAAATTAAGATATGTTCTTCCTCTCGCTACTTTAGTTGCTTCAGTAAAGTGATGTAATCAGCTGTGAGTTCATTATTAAAAATGCATAATATAACCCAGTTCCACCCATTTTATGTATTGCAACAGAGGTACTTGGCAATCACTTGGCTTTTATGGAGGGATCAGGGTCCTACGCATACTTCCCATATTCCTATCCATCCCTCACCCTCCACTCAAGTTGAGGGTTGTCAGCGTGAAACTGACTGACTTAGATAGATTATAGTGATCTAAACAGATACAGTAAAGCATGTCTAAAAGGTAAAGGTTTCCCCTTGACATTAAGTCCAGTCATGCCTGACACTAGGGGGCGGTGTTCATCTCCATTTCCTAGCCAAGGGAGCCAGCGTTTGTCCGCAGACAGTCTCCGTGGTCATGTGGCCGGCATGACTAAACACTGAAGTGCACGGAACGCTGTTACCTGCCCACCGAAGTGGTACCTTTTTATCTACTTGCATTTGCATGCTTTCAAACTGCAAGGTTGGCAGGAGCTGGGACGGAGCAACGGGAACTCACCCCGTTGTGCAGACTCGAACCAGCAGCTTTCAGTCAACCAGCCCAGCAGCACAGCGATTTAAACCACTGCGCCACGTGCAGTCCCAAAGCATGTCTAGGACTCTTCTTATTCATAATCGCCTGGTAGTGCATGCACAGCAAGGGTGTCTGTGCATAAACTAGGCTGTTACAACTATGGATCTCTCTTGCAGCATAGGTTCAAATTTTGATTGGAATGGTATTTGAACAATAATTCAAATTGAGAGAAGTGTGAGAAAAAGTTGTGCAAGCACTGTAGAGCTGTACAGTACTGTACTTAACAAAGCTTGTGATACTGTTGCCTGGCTCATGGTAGGTTGTGTAAGCCACAATTTGTGCTAAGCAACATTTCCCTTATAGTAAGACATAACTTGTGTCATCTGAACCTGGGCAGCATGTTCTATTCAACGCAGAAACAAGTATGCTTATGTCATGGTGATTGTGAGAACTGGAACAGCAAGACATCTGTTTGTCTTTCTGTCCTATATGGACAAGTTAGATTTTCTCCAAGGTTTCAAGAACCTATGTTATATGGCTTAATCAGACTTTCTTTGGAGAAATTAGAGGGGACAGGAATTTTCATGTGTGTTCACACAGTTAAGGGATACTGGTTGTTACTACACCCCATAACTATTACCTGCAGTATCAGTGACAGTATTCTTAATACCACTTGCTGGAAATATGTTTGAAGGGTATTACTGCAGTCATGGCCTGCCTACTGACATGCTGTAGGTACCAGTTTCCTCCTGGGAACAGAAGGATTATATATTTGGAATTTGATCTGATCCATCATGGGATACAGTACAGTTTTCTGTTGTTCTTGCCATTGTAACCACATGCTGCATTATAATGGATAGTACTGCTTTCCAATCTTACTGAACAGCCTGAGTTCAGTTTCTGTTGCATTACAGGTTTTTCTGTATTCAACTCAGCTATTATAGGGAAAATAATAGCTGGAGCTTTTACAATGAAATATCTACAGAACCATAAAAAGTTACAGTCAAATATTCAATTTTTATGTTAATCTGTATGTTACAGGTACACTGACCCAGAATGAGATGATATTTAAGCGCCTCCACTTAGGCACTGTGTCATATGGAACAGACACAATGGATGAAATTCAAAATCATATCATCAATTCCTACTCCCAGGTAATTAGTGTTTATAGTTTCCCTTAATATCATCATAATTCTTTTATTTGAGCCCATTAAAAGAGCTTTTAGAGTACTATGAAATGATAATAATGCTTGATTACTTTGAATTATGATTACATGTTCAAAGTTCAAAGTTATGTGGAATTATCCACATAAAGAAATTGATTTGTTTTGGTTGGCCAAGTTTCATCTTAATAAAATGGTCAGTATTGTGATGTTAGAACTACAATTGTTTCTTCAGACATCATGGCAATCTTGCAGCACCAATGGCAAGAGTCTTCTGCTTGTCTCATCAGGAAGATGGTAGAGAGGCTCTTGTAACACAGCTGCTCTTGGCTCTTTTCAGTCCAAACCAAACTACCATTAATCTTAAGGTAGGCATGGGAAACTTAACCTCCAGAAGTTTTGACCTACCACTTCCATCATTCCTCATCATTGGAATACTGGCTAGGGTTGGTGGGAGTTGTAGGCCATAACATATGGAGGGCAACAAGTTGCCCATACTTACATCACTCTTATTTAAATATAGAGCAGTCTTGCCCTTGGAATCTAGCATTTTGCTGGCATGAAGATGTCCAGTAAATCATGCAGTTTTCTACCTGCCCAACCTAAACCTCTGCTGCTCAGTTTGGGGAGAGTCAGAAATGGAGCAGCAAAAGCTCAGTTGGCCTCATGTTATTAGATGCTTTTGCTAACAGCTCCCGTAGCTGTCCACTCATGGATAAAAGATGAGGACATGGCAGAGGAGATTTCCCTGAGTGAAAGTGTGTATCATATGGCTAATGGACTATGCTCTGGAGGGAATGTATCATCATCGTGCTTTTACTTCCTGTGCTACACCAGCTGGACAAGCTTCAACCACTTTCCTAAAATCTACTTTGTAAAGGGCACCTGGTAAATAGTGCCATGGCCTGGCTCTAGTAAATTCTGTTTATTTTACCATGTTTCTTATAAAGCACCTGTAGATAAAACATTGCCTAGTTTACAAAACTGTGCATGAATAGTAACTCTTGGCATTATAAATTAATGGGTTGTGGTATGTGGTGTATTTCTCACTTGCAAGTGCAGCAAGACATATATACATTCAGATTCATGAATATAGCCCAGATTACATTTTTTGTATTGGGGCATATGTTATGAAGTTATCTTTCATAAGATAGACATGTAATAAAACATGGTAGGCATGTCATGAGTGGAGACAGCTGGAGTCGGGGGTCAGACTAGATGACCTGGGAGGCCCCTTCTGACTCGCTCTGTTTCTATGTTTCTGTAAAACATCTCATATTCATGCCAGCTTAATGAAAATTGGGATCTGTCTGATATGTGTTGGCACATCTTTGTATTTCCTGAAAAGACTAAGTACAGAGGCCAATTTTATTTACAATATACATTCCTATTGTCTTTCACAAAGGGTAAACTTTGAAATGAGGGATGGAGGTCAGAATGGAGGAATTTAGCATATTTTAAACTTTTTAAGTCTTTTTTAATCCAGTGTAGATTCTTGCATTGGGAGGAATTCTTCCATTAGGACAACCTCTTTTTTAATATCTGAAGACTCTATTAGCAAATTCTCATCTGCCATACTTTCTGAGTTTGAAAATTAAATATCTTTCTGTAGGAAAAGAGCTAGCTTTTTAATAGTTGGTTTCAAAAGTATGTATTGAGCATTCTTCTGTTTAAGCAATCATTATTAAAGCAGCCAGTTATACAGTGGTTTTGTGTGGCATTGATTTTCCCCCTTGTTTGTGTTCAGTTTTATTATTAAGATGACAATAGTCGAGTTGGTCCACTCTAATGCAACACACAAATCTATTATAACCTGATTATATTTCCCCACTGGAAGCATTTTGTGATAGAGGGCATAATCTTTAATGGAATTTGTGTGAAATTAAATTATACAAGCATCAATAAACATAACATAATTCAGAAGAAGTAAATCAGCTTAATTTATTTGTGGCTATAATAGTATCAGGGTTAACAGAATGCAAATGCAAAGGTTTAAAGCAGTAGCTGAAAAACAATGCCAGATGATCAGAAAGTTAAACCCTTTATTAGGCTACACTGTAATTTGATGGGCAGAATATTCACGGTTCAGTGGATCAGTACATGGAGTCAGAAAGAAACATTTGCTTGCCAAACAGGGTTTCAGTGGTCTTACCCTGTAGAAACAAAAAGTTAGCATGATAATACTGGTGAGGTAAGTGGAATTGTCTTGCAATACTAGCCAAAGATATCTGTTTCCAAGAAATAAGGACATTAACATGCATTGTCCTGCCTTTTAACAGACAGATTTGTGGCTGCTGCAAGAGCAATTTTCCCTATCTGGGCACATTACTGTGTCGTTAGGAACAATAACATCTAGCAGCCTGTACTCTCAAGGCGCAATCCATAGTCCATCAAAGGGAAGGGAATATTTCTCGTTGATTTGAATGGGTGAGGATCCCCTCTGCTTCTGTGATGTTGCACTTCCTAATGTTTACTTTTAAGGGACATGTTGAAAGCCAGTTATCTGTACGTATCTATTATGCTTGTCTATACACCACAAGCAACTTTTGGAGCTTGTGATGTACAGATATACGACTGAACCCTTGAAAAATTACATTTCAGCTTGCTTTCCTACCGTTTGCCACAGGAAAAGCAAATGGCAATTTACTCTAAAGAAGCAATTCAGAAATACCCTGAAATCTTTATGTTATAAAAAGTGCATAGGAGAACATGGTTTCCATACTTGCACATCTGATGATATTCACAGAATTGTGAAAGAGTGGTGTCCAATTTTTTCTTCCTTACTCCCTATTCCTTTTCCACATATAAAGAAATATGGGACTTGATATTCTGTATAATTCACACTACGAGAGAGAGAGAGGAAAGAATGAATGTGCTTAATATACAATTTTATATATATATATATAGTCTATAATCATATAGTATATAGTATGTATTAATTATAATATAATACATAAATGCACACTTAGTGAAGCTTAATAAATAGGACCTGAATGTATTTTATGATTGAGAAAGGACTAGAGAAATTTCTTAAAACTAAGGGAATAACCTAATAATTCAAGCATTCCAGGCAAGAAGCCACAGAGTAAACGTTTACCTGTAATTGTTATGAGTTGATTTTTTCTTTTATATATGTGAATACTATATTTTTATTTCAAAGATGCATTCCCAATCTAGTGGAAACAATGTCAGCTCAACACCTTCCAGAAAGATGCAGTCTTCTGCCCCTAAGGTCCGCAAAACTGTCAGCAGTCGAATACATGAGGCAGTAAAGGCTATTGCATTGTGTCACAATGTTACACCTGTGTATGAATCCCGAACAGGAGTGACTGGAGAAACAGAATATGCAGAAGTAGATCAGGATTTCAGTGATGAAAACAGAACTTATCAAGCGTCTAGCCCTGATGAGGTAGGTCTGCCATAATGATATTTATATTTTCACCCAGTTGTGATCACTTAATTTTCCATTTGCTGAAGGAATTGTAGCAAATTATTACACTTAGAACTTAGTGAATCAGTACTACAAGAGAACACTGGTTATACACTATTGCAACAATTCTTTGCCTATCAAAAGTAGATATGTAGTTTCAAATGTTAGGATTCAAGTACAATCAGTATCTTTATAATCTGTATAATTTTTTGGTTTTTAAAAGGAAATGCATTTCCTAAATAGTTGGTGGAAGATGTGATAACCTTTCCGTTATTTTCAAGGGATTGGATTCATCTGAAGGAAGGAATGTGTGAATAGTATGTGTAGCACCTGAAGAATTATTGTTTTGGAGCAACAGCTATAGCAAGCAAACATATTGGTCACATTTGGGAATCCTATTATATAACTCAGTGATGATTTGTAGGACTCCTTGATTCACAAAGAAAAATAATTGATTTTTTTTTCTTTTAAAATAGCATGCCAAGATTTTAGATATATAGAAAAGTTTTGTTTCACCTGGTTTTATTTTGTACTTTGGGCATGGGTAACAAGCCCTGTGCAGTGGAAGAACTGAGACTTTGTTCAAAGTACTGAGGAGGCCAATTTTAGATGTTTCTGTGTCCTACTTCCAACTGAAGTACACAAGCATGCAGAGCTTTTTTGGGCAGCAAATGCCCAGGAAGGCACGACAGATGAATTCTCTCCCAGCCTTCCTTTTAGAGGACGATTTCCTGGACTGAGGTAGTCTGATGTCATTTATTTGGCAGCTGGCATCATAGTAATTTGTCCATATTATTAAAAAGTTGCTGTTCATCAGTTTAATTCTCCAGGTAAGTTATATTATTTGTTGCATTTTACTGGTTTTAATTTTGAAAGCCATTTGAGTTAACTAAATTAAAAAGTGGAATATTCTGAAGTGGGATGTGGGACATGGGCAGCAAACCATGATGGAGTTTGCTCTACCATAATCCTCCACTTGGGTATACAAAGGAGAAGGATCCATGGAGCGATCCTGGTTGCTGAGTTTGCCCAGGAAACTGCACAGGGCATCTCCAGTCAGCACTTGGGCAAGGTCCCTGCTTTCTTTGCACTAAATTTTGAATTCAGTAAATGTTGCCTGTTTATAACCCAGCTTTGTGTGTGACATCTCAGCTTGCCTTTTGTAGAAATAAGGGGAAAAGTGTACAAGAGGAATCAAATCGTAGAGATACACGATGATCAAAAAGTATTTTTAATGTTGGTAAAGAAGTATTCCGGCAAAATCTGAGACAATCCTGAGTGATTCCTAGCTTTCCTTTGTAATTCTTAAAATTAGTCTCCTAAATTTATTGTAAAATGGAGACTACCTAAGGGTTAAAGAAAGATTAAGCTGTGAAAATATTTAAATAATCTTTAAAAAAGTTGTATGACTGAAAGAAGCCTAGAACTGAAAAGACCAGAAGGCCTTGATCATAATTTTTAAGAGCTCTATTGATGCAATACTTGCAATTCACTGGAGCCTAAGGAAAATAATGTAAATGGTTCATTATTTAGCGTATTGAACTTATTTGCAGTTAGGTTGACGGATGATGCCAGTGTTTCCCAATCACACAAGTACCATTTGAAAAGCATTTTTATTGAATAAAGTGCTGTGAATATTGCACCCTGGAGCTTTATTTAGGAAAATAGCTCAATTGATGTTTTCTTTTTAACCTCTTTGTTGACCCATCAAAACATATTTGGTTAATAAACAATAGTGGTATCATTTGACAGACTGGTTTTATGCATTCAGCTTCTTTAACAATGTGATATATTCTGATAAACTAGTCATTCATCTTTTGATATATGATAACATATACTAACATTCTTAATATGCTTGCTAAGCCTCACACTGCACAAAATGTTCAGAGCAACATGGTATGTTTTTTTCATTGCTAGCATCTAAAACTCTTTCTGAATTATAAGGAAACGATTGAACAATAAATGAATAGACATGGAGACTTTAATTTCAAATATGTACAATGTGCATGATGATCAAAATTTCTACACTAGCACACTTTAAAGAACTTAAGACCAATGGGAACCTTCATTATAATGCATGTAGCTACTGTAGCTTCAGATAAGTAACTTATTCTGTATTCATAGCATGAGCTCTACTTATGCCAAGCTCATTGTTTCTTATGATAAGTGATCAATATTTCATTTTCTCTGAAAGAATGGAAAGTTTCATTTGTCTGTTCCTCATGCCCTTTGCAGCATAACAAGGAAAGAGGACATGTTGAGGACTTCACTGATAAAACCAGCTGTGCTTATTATGCTGTCTTATCATATACATATGGTATGTCCAGGTAAATCACTGAAAGCTGGTGCTAAACTAATGTAATGAACAGTCATAAAAGGATAAAAACTAAGTAGGCGGAGCAATAAGTTCAAAGGTCGCAAGTTCAAGTAATTCAAAGGTTTGCTATGAACAGGAACCTTGAAGACCTTTGCCCCTCTTTGGTAAAAGAAGATGAATTAATCACATTTCTTAATGATTAACAGACTAGCTCTTTATTGGTTACACTTTTATGTATACATAATCAAAAACATCCATAATTCCAACACCTGGAGTATGTAAACATCATGTGGAAGACCATATGGTGAGGAAACAGCGAAGAAAGTAAAGTAAGATAAAAACAATAAAAATAAATAAATATGTTAATTAAAATTATCAAATGTTCATACACAGGGTAATCCTCATTTTATATTGCAAAGATACCTCTCATATTTTCAATAATACATATTTTATACAGTATCTCAGAATCATATGTAGTGGACCTATCATATGAATGATTACTTCCCTGAGCAAGTGTTGATTGCATTCAAATGTCTTCTTTTGACATTAATGCAGCACAGTGAATTTATGAAAGCAAGAGGATATAGGAGATAAAGCGAAGGCCTGAACAGATGACCCTCTTTATAAGAAGAGGCTTTCTTGCCCCTGTTGGCCTTAACCAGGGTTGAAGTTTCAGGCGCATTGTTCAGACAAATGCAGGGTGGGTAGCACTGGCCCAGAAGAAGGCATCACTCTTGAGAACGATCTACAGCTCCATCATCAGGGAGATTATAGCTTTGCATGTATTCATATTTCCTCTAGAGAGAAAATAAGAATCCGGAATATATTTATTAACAATTAGAGTGATAGCAGGCTCTTGTCATTCCTTTTCAAATACATGCTAAAGGCAGAATAGAGGAGAAAAGCCTACCCTTGCTTGGAGGTGGAAGTATACTGGGTAAAGTATTAAGGATGTACATGTTTGATCTGAAAATGAAATAAGATTGGGTTCATGACTTTATTCAGCATCCTGTCAAGCATGGGCTGTGAGCAGAATCTGAGCTGAAGACCTCTTCTGAGGGCTTATCAGACATTGAACATTTATAGGGATGAGACCAGATACATCTCCATTGTATCCATTGGTTCTGTCCATTTCTGATGTGAAGCAATCATGGTGGCTTTATCTTATATTTGGTATCAGTTTGCCTCTCAGTACCAGCTCCTGGAGAACATGAATCAGATTGTGCTGTTCTACATTTGTCTTGCTTATGGGGTCCTGAAAGGCATCTATTTGACCACTGAAGGGAATGCAAGACAAGGTAGACCTGACTCATCATGAATACTCTTAAAGAAGCAGGAAGGCTTAAAGCAGGCTTGTATCCCTTCCATAATCGTAACAGAAGTCATCTGTTTTGATGATAACATAATCATAACAGAAGTCACATATACAGGTCCAGAACATTTGAACTCCCTGGTCTGTGAGGAAAGACTGTTATAATCTGGTTTAGAATAATCAGGGGTTTTTTCCCCAGAATAAGGGTGGTAAAAGGAGAATCTGAGCTCAAGTAGCTGAGGAGTATGGAATCAAGACATAATTTTTCTCTAATACAAAATATCTGTTAACAGATTCCTGGCCATATCAGCTGTATGTAGTAGATGGCAGTTTACCATGCAACTTAATTTACATGTATATATGCACATACACATTCAACCTGAGTGCATGTATGGTAGTGACAGGGGCAGCCCACAGGCCACATGTGCTCCCACCCTGAAAGAGGCTGTCTGAGTTTGGATTACATAACGGCCATCTTTGGCTAAGTAACCACAATAGGTTGTCACGTCGTACAAATCAAGTCAGTGTGTATGCTCATACATGCCTTGTTTTAAAGCATAGCTAGGGATTTTGCTGCATGTGCTACAAAAACTCAGTGGAAATGGAAGCAGCTTTTGTGGGAAACAGGAAACAGAAATTGGCCCCCAGATCTTCCAGAATTACCCACCCCAGTCATGAAAACTTTTAAACTTGGACTCAACTAAAGCTACTTGTTTAGAAGAATAACTGAGTCAGATAGGACACTTTTCAAAGAAATTACAGGTAAAGCATAGCGTTTGTGCTAAGGGACAGAACTAAAGAAGTGGTGGGAAAACGTGGTAGGTTATCAGTGTAAGATGATGATGACAACTTTTAAATTGTGTGAATGAGGCAGGACAATTACGTCTTATCTGCCAAAATTACCCAAAATGAAATGGTTTCTTCAAAGTGCTTAAAGTTAAAAATACCATACATACAAAAATAAAGAGAAGGGAATTCTGTGTAAAATATATAGGCACTCCTAAAGGTGATTGAGAATGGGGCTATAGTGCAGGTGTTACTGTCCCAGAGCCAGCACGACTCAGTTAAAATGTAGACAAATGCAGCATATCTTAGTAAGAGATTGCGTTTCAAATAGCTAATGGATCAGTTGGGGTGAATATAGGAGTTGTTACAAAATAAATACTTTATTTGTTGTTGTGTACCATCAAGTTGTCTTTGACCTGAGGTGACCTTCAGTCTTGAGATACACTGAGATATATTGTAAGCAAATAAGGAACAACAAAGGAACAGGGTTTGAAAAGGCAGAGACTCATAAGATTTCTCTTGCAATGACTCATTGAGGACTCCTTGAAAACTTCCTAAAATCCA